AAGGTCAAAACCCATCCTGGATACTCCTCCCCCCACTATGAGAAGAGGCGTATCAGGTAAGTACCAACGCCCTTTTCCAACAGAAGTAACCTGGTCTTCAAGAATTATGCTCCATGACCTTTTGCAGTATATGTGAGGGATTAATGTCAGGTATTAGGAACTGGGTTTTAATAGAAATGCAGTCCCTTGAAGATGGAGCAGAGCCATGATTTAGGCCCATCTACTTCTTGTTCACATGGAGTGTGAAATTTGGAAAAGCAGCCTTTCAGCTTGGCATTATTTTGCTCAAAAGGCAGTGTCATAACCCAAATATCCTTGTTCACAGAAAGTGTTAAACACAAAAACATGCTGGTGAAGGATATTGAGAATTATAGCTTGATACAAGATTGAGGAAGATTGTTTGAGGTACATTTATGTCACCAAAGAAAGGCCTTTACTATATGTAATTTAGATAGTTAAACAAAGTTTCAAATGATAGTATGTGGCAGTTTTAAATATCCTATCACATTGGCAAAAGCCTGAGCTGTGGTGATTCCTATTGCTTTTGTGGGAGACATATCATAAGATACCATATAGTCAGGAGTGGGCTGCTGGGGGTTCGCACGGGTTCGGGCAGTCCTCTAGCTAGGATTCTGCCCAGTTCTGCCACCCCAGACTGGTTGTGACCACCCCACCCCTCCCAGGAGTCTCTGCGCAGCCCGCTCATCATGCAGGGCCCGCACAGAGTCTTGGGGAGAGCTAAAAATAGGCCTATTGGAGGGTCCGGAAGTCTGGAAACAGGACTCTTTCCAGCCTCTGGAGGACCTCTGGAGCCCAGAGGAAACAGTTTTCTCCCTCCCAGAGGCTTCAGGAAAGCCTCCGGAGCCGGGGAAAGGCAAAAAATTGTTGAGGACTCGGAAAGTCCTTGACTTACGACCTGGCAGCTGGCAACAGGCCAGGCAATGCCCTGATTGGCTAGGGTGCGGCATTGTCTGTTGCTAGCCGCTAGAGGCGCCCTGATTGGCTACGGCGCAGCATCATTCGTTGCTAGCCGCAGAAGGCGCGCTCATTGGTTATCCCTGCTTGACAGCCCGTTTAAATAGCTGTCAAGCAGGGATGGTGCTAAATCGCCTGTAAATAGTTTCTTTGAAATAAACTTCTTGTTCTGGCAGTCCTGGCTCTCGTCTCGTCTTTCTGTCGATCCTCAAAAAAAATGCAACCTCTCCCACTGTGTTGCAGGAGGATGACTAGGCCACACCCACCATGGCCTACCCAGCAACGGGACAGCGAACCCGTTGCTGGAAGTTTTGAAGCCCACCCCTGCATATAGTCCTGTCCTTGCTATTGCTGTGGAATGCTACTGATTTCTGTGGGATGGACGCCAACATTTGTGAAGTCTCAATATTGTTTGGGTGTCTGCCTGAATATGTGGGGTTTTTTTTCTTTGGGCTCAGAAACATGTTTCTTTCCTGGCAGGTGAATGGGCAATGTATGGAAGGCAAGCAACACTCAGATGTTGTTTCAGCCATAAAGTCTGGTGGAGATGAGACCAAGCTGCTGGTAGTGGATAATTTAACAGATGAATTCTTCAAGAAGTGCAAAGTCATCCCCTCTGAAGCACATCTGAAAGGTATGGCATCCGTTTGCTAAAGAAGATATTGTTGTGGTTTGGGTGAGATTTAAAGAACCAACTCCTTCCTAGACAGAGATGCTATGAGTGTATTGGAATGCAAGTATGAAGCGAGCATGGGCCCACTGGATAGGCTAGCAAAGAGCCCCTGACACTTCTCATTTTCTGCCTTAGAGTCCTGTACCTTCTGTGGGAGGAGAATGGTGTGGTGTAGCTATGTCTCAGTCTTGAGTGGAAATAGCAATAGCACTTAGACTTACATAGCACTTCTCAGTGCTTTACAGCGCTCTCTAAGCGGTTTACAGAGTCAGCCTATTGCCCACAACAATTTGGCTCCTCATTTTACCCAACTCGGAAGGATGGGAGGCTGAGTCAACCTTGAGCCTGGTGGGATTTGAACTGCCAAATTGCAGGTA